AGAGAGAGGGCAGGGGGAGAGAGGCTGGGAGGACAGAGCATAGTGAGTGTGAGAGTGTGTTGGGGGGGTAGAGAATACAGGGGGAGAAAGGCTGTGGGACAGAGAGAAGAAGGAGAGAGGGCAGGGGAGAGGGCAGGAGGAGACAAGGCAGGCAGGGTAACAGAGGGCAAGGGGTGAGAACGCAGTGGGGAAAGAGGACAGGGGAGAGAGGGAATGGGGATGAATGGCAGGGGGGAAGAACACAGGGGAAGGGAAGGCAAGGGAATAGAAGGCATGGGGAGAGAGTGTGAGGGAGAGATGGCAGGATGAGAGAGGGCAGGGGGAGTGAGGGCAGGGGAGAGAGGAGAGTGGAGAGAGGGCAGGGGGAAAAGGGTAGTGGAAGAGAAGGCAAGGGAAGAAGCAGGGATAAGAGAAGGCAAAGGTGAGAATGTGGGGGGAGAGAGGGGCAGGGAGAGAGGGCAGGGCGACAGTGGCTGGGGGGGAGAGTGTGCAGGGGGAAAGAGAGCAAGGGGAGGGAGACGGGATAGAAGGCATGGGGAGACAGGACAAGGGATAGATGACAGAGGAGAGAGAGGGCAGGGGTAGAGATGGTAGGGGAGAAAGGGCAGGGGAGAGAGAGGACAGTGGGGAGAGAGGGCAAGGGGTAGAGAGTGCAGAGGGGAGAGGGGGGAGCAGGGAGAGAGTGTGCAGGGGGAGACAGGACACAAGGGAGAGAAGTAGGGGGAGAAAAGGCAGGGGAGAGAGGCCAGGAGGAGAGATGGTAGGGAGAGAGAGTGCAGGGGAGAGAGGCCAGGGGGAAATAGGGCAAGGGGAGACAGTGCAGGAGGAGAGAGTACAGGGGAGAGAGTGCAGGGGAGAGAGCACAGGGTGAAAGAGGGCAGGGGGACAGAGACCAGGAGCAAGAGAGCACAAGGGGGAGAAGGTGCCATTGGAAGGAAGGCAGGGGGATAGAAGGCATGGGGAGAGAGGGAGAGGGAACGAGGGCAAGAGAGAGATGACTTGGGAGAGAGGGCAGGGAGACTGGGCACTGGGGAGAAAGGGCATGTGGGAGAGAGCACAGGGGGGAGAGAGGGTAGAGGGTGACAAGGCAGGGAAGAGAGAGGAGAGTGGGGGAGAGGGCAGGGGAGAGAGTTCAGGGGGATAGAGGGCAGGGGGAGAGAGTGCAGGTAGTGGGAGGGCAAGGGGGAGGACAGCCAGGGAGAGAGGGCAGAGGAGAGATAGTGCAGAAGGAGAGAAGACAGGAGGAGTGAAAACAGGGAGAGAGCGCAAGGGGAGACAAAGCAGGGGGAGTGAGGGGGGGAGAGCAGGTGGAAATTGGGCAGTGGGAGAGGCAGGGGAGAGAGGGATAGGGGCGAGAGAGGGCAGGGCAAGATGGCAGGGCAAGAGAGGGCAGAGGAAGAGGGGGACGGGGTGGAGTACAGGGGGAGAGAGCATAGGGAGAGAGAGCAGGAGGAGAGAGCCCAGAGAGGAGAGGTCAGGAGGAAATGGGAGTGGGAACAGAGGGCAGGAGTCACAGAAAGCAGGGGGAGAGAAGGCAAGTGGAGAGAAGGCAGTGGAAAGAGTGCAGGGGGAGAGTGGACAGGGGGGAGACAGGGCAGGGGGAGTGAGTGAGGGTGACAAGAGCAGGGTATGGGGGAAGGAGGGAAATTGAGTGGAAAAGAGATGGGAGGATGGAATGCTCTTTTGAAAGGAACAGGGGTTGACAGAATAGGGGGTATGATGAGAAGTGGGAAAAGAGATAGGGAGAGGGCAATGGGGGAAAGAGTGGAGGGAAACAAATGGAGGTATGGGAAGGGAGAAAGGAGAAGAGAGGGCAGGTAAGGAGGGTGGGGGAGAAAGGCTGGGGGAGGGAGCGGGGGGGGGGAACAAATGGAGATAGAGAAGTGGAAAGCTGGCAGGGGAGTAGAGAACAGGCCAGGTGAGGGGAGAGGGGTCAGGAGGAGGGGAGAGGGGTTGGGCCCAGAGGACAGGGAAACGGGGAGGTTGGGGGCAAGTGAGGGCAGGGGGGGCAAGCCTGCAGAAGGGGGAAATGGAAAGAGGGATTGGGGGAGAAGGGGAGAAAGACAGAGAAGAGGGGGAGAGAGATCAGATGGAGAGATGGCAGGGGGAGAGAGTATGGAGGGAGGTGGGGAGAGAGGGAGAGAAAGGTAGGGGAGAGGGAAAAAGGGGACAGGAGAGAGGGAATACAGGGGAGGGGTGACAGAGTGGGGAGAGAGCAGAGGGTGGCAAGAGAGCTACATACCCCCAGCCCCACAAAACCAAACCAATTGCAAATTTTTCAGGGCTGACGTCAGCAGGGGACAGGACAAAATGGCCTGATGTAAAAAGGAACCCTTAACCACTTAAAGATGTGTGTTCCAACGTGGGAGAATACATAGAAATAGAGCAAACTCCCCCCTCAATTCCCCACCTCCCCCTCTCTCTGCTATCTCCTGTCCCCTTTTCTCTCCCCACTTCTCTCCCACCTTCCCCTCTTCCCCCTCCACCTGCCCTCTCTGCCCTATGGCTACCCCACTCTCCACTATCGTCCTCTTTACCCTCTCCTGCTCTCCCCTCTCCCCTCCCCACCCTCTGCCTGCCCTCTCCCTCTCCCCTTGCTCCCCTCTTTTCCTGTGCCTTCTTCCCCTCTCCCCCTTCCACCTTCCTCCTGCCCTCCCCCCCTCTGCTGCCCTATTCCCCTCTCTCCCCGTCCTCCCCTGCCCCTGCCCCTGCACTCCCCTCCCTCTCTTCCCTTCCCTCTCCCTCCTACTTCCCCTCTCTCCCCCTGTTATCTTCCCTTCTGCCTTTTCCCCCTCTCTCCCCCTCCACCCTTTTACCTGCCCTATTCCCCTCTTTCCCTGTCATCTCCCCCTGCCCTTGCACTCTCCCTCCCCTCTCTCCCGCTGCTCCTCTCTCCCCCTGCCCTCTTCTCTGCCTCCCCTCTCTCCCCTGCCGTCTCCCTCCTCCACCTTCTCCTCCCTCCCCATCCCCTCTCCTCTCCTCTCTCTCACCACTCTGCCCTCTCCCCTCCCACCTGCCATCTCTATCCTCCCCTTCTCCCCCTTCCCCTCTCCCCCTGCCCTTCTTCTCTTCCCCTCTCCCTCAGCCTTCTCCCCTTTGCCTTCTCTCCCTCCTCCACTCTGCTCTCTCTCCCCCTGCCCTATCCCACTCTCCCCTCTGCCCTTTCTCCCCCTTGCCCTCTCACTCTATCCTTGCCCTTTCTCCCCTCTCTCCCTCTGTCCTCTTCCCCTCTCCCCCTCCCACTCTCTTGTGCTCCCCACTCTCTCCCCTGCAGCCCACCCAGGGAAGGCATCAAAAGGCTGTCCTTTTTCCTGTATGCCTGGACCTATGCTATGCTACTTTCTCTTTTTCCTTGGTAGTAGGCTTTAAACCAGTGAACAACCCATGCTGGAGAAGCCAGGATCCTTGAGAAAAGTCACTCTTAGTAGAAGCTCAAGAGATAAACAAAAAACAAAGACCCCTTCAAACTCCCATTTACAGCTGGCACAAACTACCATTTTTACCTTCATCCATTGGTCAACTAACCATGTCTAAAGTCAATCAATTGGAAAGTATACTTATTTATAAAGAACCATACTAAAGGAGGGAACAGTAAACAACGTTACTTAACCCAGCTTTCCAGCAGTCAGAGTCAAATCACTTTCTTTCTTCCTCTCCCCTCCTCTCTCCCCCTGCCCTCTTCACTCCCCCAGCTCCCCTTGCCATCTGTACCATTCCCATTCTCCCCCCCCCCACCCTCTCTCCTTTGTCTTCTCTCCCTCCTCCCTACTCCTCTCTCTCTCCCTGCCCACTCCCCCTTACTTCTTCCTCCTGCCTTCTTTCTCTGTCTCCCCTCCCTCTCTCTCCCCTGCCATGGTCCCCTCTCTCCCTCTGGCCTCTCCACCTGCCCCTACCCCCTCCCTTCTTTCTCCTGCTGTCTCTCCTTTCTCTCCCTCTCCCTTCCTCTCTCCCCCTCTCCCCCCTCCCCTCCTCCTGCCATATTTACCCCTCCCCTTCTTCCCCCTCCCCTGTGCCCTCTCCCCTTTGCCTTCGCTCCCTCCTCCCCACTTCTCACTCTCTCCCTGCCCTCTCCCCCTCTCTTGCCCTCCCCACTCTCTCTTTTGCCTTGGTCTCCTCTCTCCCTCTGCCCTCTCCACCTGCCCCTACCCTCCTCCCTCCCCCTCTCCCCTGCTGTCTCTCCCTCCTCTCTCTCTCCTCCTCTCTCCCCCTGCTCCCTCCCCTCCCCTCTGCTGTCTCTACCCCTCCTCTTCTTCCCCCTCCCCACTGCCCTCTTCCCTTTGCCTTCTCTCCCTCCTCTCCTCCCCCCATCTCCCCTTCTTTCCCCTCTGCCCATTCTCCCCCCTTGCCTCTCCTCTCCCCTTTCCCTTTCTCCCCTCTCTTCCATTGTCTTCTCCCTCCTGCCCTCTTCCTCTCTTCTCCCCCTGCCCTCTTCCTCCTGCCTTCTTCCCCTCTCCCCCTCCCCCTCTTATCCCTTTCCCCCTCTCTCCCTGCCATGTTCCCCTCTCTCCCTGTCCTCTTCCCTGCTCATGCCCTCCCCCCTCCCCTGCTCCCTCTCCTCCCCTCCCCTCTCTCCCCTGCCGTCTCTCCTGCCTCCCCCTTCTCCTCCCTCCCTTCTCTCATACTCTCCCCTCTCCTCCTCTCTGCCCCCTCTCCTCCTCCCCCTCTCTCCCCTCTGCCCTTTCTCCCTCTCCCTTCTCTCCTCCCCCATCTCCATTTTCAACCCCCCCAACCAAATGCCAATCTCCTTGAAGTCCCAGTAACTTATGCAGGTGAGACCAGAACTCCAGAGTGTCCCTCAGTGCCTGCATTAAAGGTGCTGGGCCACCACCACCCAGGCCCACTCTACTCAATTTTCTGAAAAAGGGCACGCAGCCTAGGCTCCCCTTCCAGCCAGTCCCGGGGCCTCCCTAAAGCCAGGGGCTCCCGCTTCTGAGCATGGGAAGAGGGGCGGGAAAGTTTGTGTGGGGGTGGGGACAGAAAGTCCGGCAGTCTGCCCTTACCTGCACAGTAGAAGGTGTCAAGAGCAGAGGTCTTCCCGAAGTCGAGCTCCTCAAAGGGCACGGAGAAGAGACGGGCGCCCTCGGCCTCACAGGCCCTATGCAGGTACTGTAGCACTCCCTCTTGGCCGTGGGCCTCGCCGCTCTGAGAGCACTGGTGGTGCACATATACAGCCCGAAGAGCCTGCCGCGGCCCGACCCCACCTGCTCCCTCGCCCTCGCTGCCATAGGATGTCGTCTGGGCGTTCGCCACAGCCCCGCCAGGTTCCACCAACCCTGCCGCCTCCACACCCTCACCACTCAAGTCCCATGGGCCCTGAGGAGCCGCAGGCACTGGTGTGAGCGCCCACGCCCAGCCGCTCCCTCTGTCGCCTTCCATGTGACAGACGGGGCGAAACCTTTCTTGGTTTCACCTCAGCAGGAGAGACTGGAGGTTGTGACCAGCGGGGCCACAAGTTGAGGCAGTCTGCGACCCAGCACCTTCCCTGGCGCTAGGACGCTTGAGGTGAGGCACTCAACCACTAACAGCCAGCCCTCAATGGCTGACTGAAACCCTCACAACTGACGAGCCCCGGTACCTCAAGCGCGCCTTTTTAAAAAAGCACGAGAAAGGGGCGTGGTCTGGGGGCTTCTGGGCATGCGCACAGAGAGGCGCTGCTGGGTGTGGGCGGGGCGTCGGGGAAAAAGGCGGGAAAGCGTCTTCTGTTGCCACCTCTCCTCCGCCAGCCACAGCAGCGTCCTCAGTGGCTGAGGAATTTCCGGAACTTCCTGGTCCTTCTAGAAGTTTCTTTTACTTTTTTTCCTCAAAACGAGTTAAAACTTTCAAACAGAATAAAGACTTTCAAAGCACAATCAGGTTATAAATATTCCATTCGAAGCTAAATACACATGTAGTTTTAACTCGGCTTTAGGGTGAGCAGATGCTTTATCTGGTATTCTTCGTCAGTAATTCCTATAGCCACGACTTTTCCATATTTTCCTGAGCCCTGTCTGGAAGCCCCATAGTCCTTTAACTGTGATCTTCACAAAACACCAGAAGGCACTAGTGACATACCTTATTTGCCTGGAAAATATTCCCAGCACTGCCTGCCTACCCTAATAAATGACCTGAACTCAAAAGAGGTCTTTGCGTTGCATCTCAGGCACTTTGCTGTTTTAGTCCCAAATACTAAACTGTATTTTAAAAAATATTATCACCAGGTTTCCAGGTTTTTGCTTTTTCTGTAACAGTTTTATTGAGGTATAATTCACCTGCCATATGATGCACCCGTTTAATATATGATTCAGTGGTTTGTTACACTGAGTTATAGAACATCACCACAAATTGTAGAATTTTCATCCCACTGAAAAACCTAGGACCCATTAGAAATCACTCTCCCTGCCCCTCCCTCCACCCAGTCACTAGGCCTAGGCAATCACCAACTTACTGCTCATTTTGGATAAATGGAATCATATGAAGTGTGAACATAGACTTTCATTTGCCTGCGGTATATATTAGGCGTAGGTTTTCTGGGTTGCACAGTAAATCTAAGTTTAACCTCTGGGAGAAACAGCTACTATTTTGCACAGTGACCACACAATTTGACATTCCCATCAGCAGTGCATGAGTGTGCCAGTTTCTCCATATCTTCACCAGTACTTTTACTGGCTAACTATTGGATGATATCCATCCCAAGGAATGTGAAGTGGTTTGGATGCATTTCCTTGATGGCTAATGATGGTGAACACCTTGTCATGTGCTTATTTATGTAACTTCTTTGGAGTAATGTCTGTTCCAGTCTTTGACCCACTTTTTAAATTGGGTATTTGTCTTTTAAATATTGAGTGGTAAGAGTTCTGTACATATTGTGGATACCAACCCCCTATCAGACATGAGACTGGCAAATAGTTCCTCTCATTACATGGGCTGTCTTTTCATTTTCATGATGTGTCCTTTGCAGAAAACCCATGCCATTTAACACAAGCAGGACAGGACATAACTTACAAAACAATACTTTGGATGCTTTTTATGTTTCAGTAATCAGACAGCCCATTGCCTACCCTCCAAAAGAAAGCAGAAATTGCCCATATAAATCCTGTCTAAACTCCAGCTCAGCTGGAAATCAGGAACTTCATAAGTGACATCAATATGAAAAATGGATTCTGAGGAGATCGGTTAAGAGCATACAGAGCAGAGTTGGGAAAACTTTCAACACTTCTAAGACTTAAAAAAAATCATGATGCTATAAGATATGTGTACCCACCCACGGCTTCTTTATTCACCATTTGAAGTATATCTGAATGGTTTCTAGTTTTTGGCTATTATGAATGAAGCTGTGATGAACATTCATGTACAGATTTTTGTGGGAATGTGAATTTCAATTCCCTGATAAAACTGTTCAGAAGTATAATTCTGGGTCATATGATTGATCATTGAATTTTTTTGAAACTGTCAAGCTGTTTTCCAGAGAGGTTATTCCACTTTTTATTACTACCTGGCATACATGTATTATTTACTTTTTCCACATCCTCACCAGCATTTGCTGCCAACTTTTTCAAAAGTCTTTCTGATAGATGTGTGGTGCTATTTCATTGCGATTTTGATTTACATTTTTCTATGACTGATGATGTTGAACATCTTTTTATGTGCTTGTCATGTGTTTATCTTTGGTGAAATATCTGTTCACATCTTGAGCCTTTTTTCCAAGTGGATTTTTTTTTTTACTGTTGAGTTTTGAATGTTCTTTATACATTCTAGACACTAGTTCTTTGGTGAACATGTGGTTCAGAAATACTTTCTCAAAGTCTTCAACTTGTCATTTCATCTTCTTAACAGGACCTTTCACAGAAAGAGCCAAAGTTTTTAATTTTGGTGAGGCACAATATTCAGTTTTTTTATTTTGAGATTGTGCTTTTGGTTTCAAATTGAAGAACTCTTTGCCTAGCCTTAGATTCTCTCCTAAATTTGTTTTGTTTTTTTAAATTTTTTTGTCTTCCATATTTGAGGTTTTATTGGTTGTGCTGAGGATCAGTACAGACATTTCACTTTGTACACAAGTCTTAACACACGTACCAAAAAATCTAAAATGCCAGGTATTGTTTCTTTTTCAGTTATTCCAGTGACTTTCCAGCTTCAAATTTGGAGGCAGCTTTTCAGTAAGAGGATCTTCCAATGCTGATTATGTGTTACTTATGTCCCACTTATGTGGGACTTATTATTATTATTATATATTATTTTGTGTTACTTATGTCCCACTGACTTATGTGTTACTTATGTCCCACAATTTCATGCCATATACATCTCATATTCAAATTTTCGATCTTTCACAGCACTTTAACAAAACTAGGCAAACTGTACTACCACGACCAAAGACATTAAGAAGTATGTACGATTCTATCAGGGCAACAGTCAGGAAGTAGTTTTCTTTAGGAAACAATTCTACTAAAAACAATGACTGATGCCAAATTACCATTTAGTATGCTTTGTATTGCAGGATATAAAACTAATCCCCACCTGTGGAATGTTAAGCTGACATCCAAGACAGTGAAAGCCTGCCATAATTCAATATCCCACTATTTTCTAGTTGTACCAAAACATGAACAACCAGCAAATGGTTTTACTTCTAAAAAAATCATTTACACTTAAAAAATGCGATGAGGTAGGAGTCTTTCCTTTTTGAAAATGTTTCTAGAGCTACTAAAAAACTTGCATTTACAAAATGGTTGACAAAAATATTCCTCTGGGTTGTACAAGAAGGGAGCCAGGGACCACTGAGAAGACAAGGGGTGTGGCTAATTGGACTTGGCTTCTTTCTCTTGTTTCCTCAGAGGCTGCACTCTCCTCGGGTTTTTTGGTTTGTTCTTTTTTTCATTATCTCCTTTTCCACAGGTAAATCATCCTTGGGTCCTTGATTAGCCACTTTGGCCTGTTTTCCCTTTGCTCCTCCTTTTCCCTTTTGCTTGCACTTTTTTGACCAAAGATTTATGCTTTCCCCCTGCCTTTTCTTTTTGGCTTCGTTTCCACTTTTGCAGAAGCAGGGTTAGCCCACAGCCTCACCAATCTCCACTCCGGCTCCTCCTTGGCTGTCGATTAGCTGCATCTTGGCGGGCCTTGTGGAAGCTGCGCGCCGTGCTGGAGCCTCGAGGAACTAAGCTACTAGGCCGCTGCCATTTGTCCCACTGCCAGAGCTGCTGAGACCCGCGGCCTGTTGTGTTTTATATTTGAGACAGTATCCTGTTACGTAATTTGTGCTGGCTCAAGCTCAAGATGTAGCCCAGGCTGGCCTTCAACATGGGGTGATCCTCCTGCCTCAGCCTTCCAAGGGCCAGGATGGCAGACGTGTGCTACCACACCCTCACCTAAATTTTTTTTCTGAAGTTTTACAATTTCACATTTGAAATTTAAGTCCATGATTCATTTTGAGATAATTTTTGGGTAGGGTGAAAAGTTTTAGGTTGAAGTTCATTTTCTTGCTTATAGATGTTTAGTTACTCCGGTACCATTTGATAAATGAGCTACCCTTCGAGTTGCTTTTGCACCTTCCTTAAAAACTGGTGGTGTGGAGGTGGGATTTATTTTTGGGTTCTCTGCTCTCTTCCATGGACTTCCTTCCTTTGACCTCTGTTTACTGACTCCTCCTAATACCATATACTGCTTTCATTGCTGAAGCTATATAGTAGCTCTTAATATCCAGTAGAGTGATTCCTCCTTTATTTTCCTTTCCCAAAATTGTTTTAGCTATATTAGTGCCAATGCTTTTCTATATAAAATTTCAGAATAGGCTTGTCTATGTCTACAAAACGAACCTTACTAGGATTTTGACAGGAATTGTAGTCAACCTAGAGATTAATTTGGAGAGACTTAACATCTTTGTTATTTTTAATCTTCCGAGCTATGAACATGGTATGTGTCATTTATTTAGATCATATTTGATTTCCTTCGTTAGAATTTTCTAATTTTCAACATAATGGTTCTGTACATGTTAAGATTATACTCAAATTTTTCATTTTTCTTAGTATGATTGTAAGTAACAGAGTTTAAGTTTAGGGTCCACGTGTACTATGTGACCTTGCTGAGCTCATTTATTAGTTGAGAATATTTTTGTTTGCTTAGAATTTTCTATGTAGATAATCATGTAATCTGCAAACAAGGACACTTTATTTCCTCTTTCCAATGTGTACGGCTTTTTTTCTCTTTATTGCCTTTGCACTGTGGCTAGAACTATGTTGAAAAACAGTAGTGAGAGTGAGCCCTTTACCTTGTTCCTGATCTCATGAGAGGAAGCATTCAGGCCTTTCACCCTGATGATGATGTTAGGCATGCAGTTTTTGTAGATGCTGTTTATCAAGTTGAGGAAGTTTCTCTCTACTCCTTATTTTTACGTATTGGGTACTGAATTTCTAAAAATATTTTATATATCAACTTACATGATCATATGATTTTTACTGCTTATCCTGTTGATAGCATGATCACACTGATTTACAAATGTTGATTCCACCTTGAATACTTGGAATACATTCTACTTGCTTGTGTTATATAGTTTTTATATATTGCTGAATTTTAGTTGCTGACATTAAGTTTTTGCAAGTAGCTCATGAGAAATATTGACCTGCTTTTGTTTTCATATTTTGTTATTGTCTTTTCCTTCCTTGGTTATCTAGTGATACTAGCTTCATTAAATGACTTGCTAAGTATTGTCCTTTTATTTTCTGGAAGGGATTATGTAAAATTGATGCTACTTTTTCAGATGTTTGTAGAATTCTCCAGTGAGATCATTTGGTCAGGAGATTTCTTTTATGGTGTATTAACTACAAGTTTACTTTTTCTAATAGTTAGAGAACTATTTGGTAAGGGACTTGCTGTGTAGTTCAGGCTTGCTTTGAATGCACTTTGTAGCCCAGGCTGGCCTCAAACTCACAATGATCCTCCTGCCTCAGTCTCCAAAGTTCTGCGATACAGGCGTGCACCACCATGCCCAGCAGGCCTATTTATTCTAAGACATTAAATTTACAATCATAAAGTTTATATTTTAGTATCCCTTTAATGTTGCAGGATCTATGGTTACATCCTATTTCATTCTTGGTTTGGTGGTCTTTGCCTTCTTTTGATCAGTTTTGCTGTTAATTCAATATAAATACTCAAGTCTACTGATGCACTCATCAAAGGTATTTTTGTTATTTTCATTTCTAGCCATTTGAATCTTGCAGTTCTGTCTGCTGAAATTAGCTTTTGCTAGCATTTACTTTTTTCACAAGAACCTTTAACATAGCATTAATTATTTAACATTTTCTAATACTTCCAGGATTTATGACATTTCTAAGTCTGATACTCATCACTGCTTTGTTTCTTTAAACTACTTTTTCTCACTTTGGTATGTTTTGTAACTTTCTGTTGAAAGCTGGGCATTTTTATATAGGGCAGCAGAGACTGAGGTAAATGAACCTATAGTGGGGGACTTTATGTTACTCTCACCAGGGAGTTGGGCTGTATTGATGTTTGTTTTCCTGTAGACATCAGAAACTTCAAATTCCCCTAGTGATTTTTTGGTCTCCCCAGTTGGCTTTGGGCCTTCCACACTGTACTGTTTCCCAGTCTGTCTCTTGCATCTTTGCTATTACTTCTGGAGAATTGCTAGTGTCAGAGGAGCACAAGTGGTGCTGGAGGGGAAAAGGTTCTCAAATATTCTAAGCTTCAGTTGAGTGCACTGTGGGCTTTCTGTCCTCCCAGTGTAGATGCCCCGTTCCCTTTCCTTAGCTGCAGGGGGTATCCATAGGAACTTTCAGCCTAAAGACTTGAAGCATTTCCCCTACTCTTCCTATGAGAATCAGGTGGGACACCCCAAGGAAGTCTGCAAAGGGCATAGAACTCCCTCCCCAAAACCGGCCCCCTCCAAATTCCTTCTGAGTCTTCTCCCCCTCTATGTCCTTCTCCTCATTCTGTATTCATTTCCTCTAAGGATACTGCCTTGAAGACAATCAAGAACATTTCCAATTGCCTCCTGGGACCAAGGCAGGCAGGTTGCTAGGCATTTCACACAAGCAGTCAATCCCTATTCTGTCTCCCTTCAGCATTCAATGGCAGAGCTTCAACCACATCCGACTTCTTCACTTTCTCAGACTGAGTCTAAGAAATAATCATGAAGCTTGAAAGAAATCCATTGTACTTCTCCTAGGATACCTCTGTTCTTCTTTGGGGTAATAACCTTGGAAATGCTGCTACTGCTATCATTTTTTTCCATTTGGCTTCTGGATGGCTTTAACAGCTTATTTATTTTTTGTCTTTTTGAGACAGGGTCTATGCAGTTCAGGCTGGATTTGGGCTCACTTTGTAGCCCACGCTGGTCTCCAACTTGCAAAGATCCTCCTGCCTCAGCCTCCTGAGTGCTAGGATTACACTAGGATTACACTAGTGCTAGGATTACCACCACAGCCGGCAGTTTGGTTAGTTTAAAAATTACTCAAAAAACCTCTTAAAACTTATTATTAATAGAAAGTACAATGAAAAAGTTCATTTCTGAGGCACTTTCCCATCAAAGAGCTCAAAGCTTACCAACAACCTTAGTTTTCTGGAGAACTAGGGATATTCTATAGGTGTTGGTAGGATAAGAAATCATTCAAAACTTAAATGACTGTTATATCTGCATAATTTAAACTTGTTGCCATTTAAAGAGAATGCCTAAATGAAATTTAGCTCTTTTCATTCTATTTTATTTTTTTCCTGAGAATATTCTACATCAACCTACTAGATCACCTTGTTTAAGTTATCATATATTGCCAACAACAAAGGAATAGCCCATTTTATTGTGAATTCCAAGTTCACAAACACGACAAGCACACAATGTTTGCCACCCCCTTGGTCACTTAAACTGGGGACAAGTAGCAAACCATGAAGTAAAGGAACTGCATCTTCTTCATGAGTTCTCACTGGCTTCAAGCACTACCTCAGATCCATTGATTGAGAACCAGCTCCTGGTCACCTTAGAGACAAATCTAGGAAAGACTGGAGAGGTTCATCCTTTTAAGAGACTTGATTCCCCATCATTCTTTATACCACTGACATTTATTTGAGGGTGGGAAGAATTTTCTCCATCTTGGCCCTTGCCAAGCCCAGTCTGAAAACAAGATCTTCATTCCCACGTCAGCCCCTGAGCATCCAGCCTTCCTGTTTGATGCCACAGTCAGCCATTCTGAACTCTGTTCACCACCACACACATTGCTTTGTTCCATTTCTCCTTTGTACAAAATCAAAAGGAAAAGCTTTTAACTAAGCCCTCTTGGTGCTGAAGTGACTTGACAATTTGTACAGAAATACTGAGAACACTAAAACCTAATCTAATGAAGGGGGGGGGACATAATGACCTCAGGATATTAAAGCTTTTGTGGGACCTGGGGGTTATTTTTATACAGACCATGGCAACTATGAGCAATACAGTATACACCCTGCAGTTTCCCCATAAAGGAGCTGCTTACGAAAGGAAATAAAATTCACCATTACTACACACACACACACACACACACACACACACACACACACAGATAATAGTGTTTTTATGGGAGAGAACAAATTAGGCACTTGAGTGTGCTGTCTAGTAGGCTGTGTACAAATAAAAGTGGCTTTACACAATTATTCAGATAATGATAATTTAATGGTTTTACACTAAAAATAGAATGCCTAACTAGCATTTTCAGCTTAGATAGGAATGCAAAATTGAACAATTTAAAAAATGGAATTCACAGGCACAGATTTCAATGGATTATTTCATGTGAGTCTAAGGACTTTACTATAAGAATAATCAAATTGTGTAAAATGAAGAAAAAGAGTTTGTATTCCAAGAAATCATTCCTCTTGGACTATGACAACTTCGAACAAAAATATTTTTCACAAAATTTCATTTTAATCATTTTCTTTTACAAAGCACAATACTTAAGACTTTTCTAAATACAACTTTAGAAAATGAAGCAAAAAAATAATCTTCATAGATGCCCGGTCAAGTCCATGCTGAATGCAAAAGAATTTTTTCAAAAGTGACACTTTCAAGCTTTTCAATATTCTTGCTGGATCTATTTTGTCAAAGGTAACGATAGTGGCCTTTTGGGCAATGGATCATCCAGTTCCATGATGCAAAATCCTCCTGCTGGTTAACCCAAGGGGGCAGTAATGAAACTGGACATGCCAACTTCTCTTTTTATAATCATTTCTCCCTCTTTATACAAAGGAAGCCAGTGGCCTCTAGGAGGGGAAGAATGAGCCCTCTACATTCCACGTTGCCAGTGCCCCATGAGGGCGCCCCAGCCAAGCAATGTAATTATTAACAAGTCTACTCTGTATACACATTATATAAAACTATATCATTAGGGGTTTTCTTGATGAGTAAATGAGAAATTCAAACACCAAAGAATCTAATCCTCATTCTCACATTAGATGGTGGTAAATCTCTGAAGGCTTCAAGTTTAATGCAGAAATACTTGGAACAGTCAAGGGGTGCAGGAATGTTTTATACTGCCCCTGGAAACTTGGTGTTCCTGGCCCCGAGCACACCAAGACCAAAGCTCCTGAAATGGTAAGATATCCAGAAATGGGGATGAAGGGTGAAGTTTTTGTTTACACACTCCCTTCCCTCTCCACCCAGAAGACCGGGGCATCAGGGCTCTGTAAATACTGGGAAGGAGGTAAAAGCCTCAAGTAGAAAGGATGAGTTTGCAGGCAAGAGCAAGGCAGGGGAATTGAGAAAGAAGAGAAAGGAAGTGACATTTATTTGTCATACTTTCAATGATGAATAACATGTGGTAATATTTTTGCATCATTCCTTCAGTATTATCAATTCTCATTCTTTGTGGTTGTGCAAATCTATTAATGTTCAGTAATTTCACTATAAAATTCAAGAAATAGACAAAGCAGCTGATCAGAAACAAATCAAACATCTTTGGGGGCCATTTAGGGACCACCCCCTCCACTGCTACCCCCTGAACAATCTTGCAATACAGTATGATCCTTATTTTTAGGTAAGGATAAAAAAAAAAACAGTTTTACACAGTCTAAGGCTGAACTGTTTGTGTGCTACAAAGATAAACCAGACAAGCAAACATCAGTTTCCTTGGGAAGGAAAAAGCAATTCCATAAATGCAAGAAAGATCCAATGGCTACACTTCAACAAGACCTTCCTCCCATTCTGTTGGACCCAAGGAGTTACAAGTGAGCAAGGCAAATGACATTATTGTGAATACAATTTTTAAACAATAACATACACAGATAACCCAGCGCAGGAAATAATACAACCCCCCCCCCCATTATTTCATTTGCATTTAAATTTTTTATTTTTTGCTTTAATAATGCATATTCTGTTCACGCAAAAGGTGCAAAAGACAGGAAGCAGGGGTTTAACTTGGCTGATGAAAAATCAAGCAGGGATGACATTTCTAGTTTCGTGAACAACCCAAAAGTAGGAGAAACTGAAAAGTCACAGCTGGCACCACAGAGCACATCCAACTTCTCAGCTGTCTTAGGACCTTTGGCTAGGGTGAGAGAAGCTGTGAACACAGTGGCCTCTAGTGGACTTGAGTAAGTGGCAGAATTTTATTTCTTTATTTTTATTTTTATTTATTTATTTTTTGAATCATGGTAGCTGCATCACAAAAGCTCCAATCAAGAGGGTGGTAAAAAGAAGGCACAGATCATTGCAAATACCAGATTTTCTCTTTCTCTTTTTGTAAATATACCATCAAATATAAGCTAAAATTTCTCTTAGGGTGGCAGGGTCTGCTGGCAGGAGAAGGGATGGGTTGGAACTAAAATTGCATATGTAATAGAATCCTAAAGGGGAACACAAAGAAAGGCAGCTTTCACCTGAAGCAAAATAACAAGAAGCTCATTTCTGACTAGGTGTAGTACAAACACTAGAGGCATCTGTGACAAAACACGATTAAAAAATCATAAAATTATAAACCTTGTAAACGAATAATCTGAAATTACATTTTATTAATGGAAAATATCATCAAAATAGTACCACTATGGACTAAACTGCCTGAGTTTTCGTTTCGCATGAGATATCAAGGTAGAAAAGCATTTAGCACAATTTGCTCTAAGTCACAACCAGTGCCAGACCCAGGACTATACCATGGGGAAGATTCTCCTCTTGGATGGAATTTGTGTTGTGCTATCAAGACTTTTGTGCTAATCTTTCAAACAGGGACATGTTGAGGCAAACCTTTAATCTTTTGGCACAAGATTATTTTGGCTGGGGCAGAAAATTTTGAGTCTTGGACTCAGGATGAATAATGTGACATCTCAGTTGTCAAGTATTCACTTTGATTGAAGAGCTTTCTTTATGTCATTCACTTCCATCTATAAAGGGGACAAAGAATCAAACAAATTAACAATGAATTGGCTAGTTTTATAGAAGCTGAAAGATAATCAACCCAGTCGGCAGAAAGAAAATCATCAATCTGACAATTTTAGAGGTGAAATGACAACTGAATCAAGATTCAAAAACAATGAGTGCCAGAAATGATATATACCTAAATAACAGGCACATAGTTATGATTCATGAAGATGGAGTGGACACTGTAATTCTCAGCCTACTAGGATCCAAAGTCTGTCAGAAGTAGCAATGATTCTAGTTTCTAGGCCAGAGAGAAGGTAGAGCAGGGGATCTTGACACACTGGACAATCTAACAGTGTTAGAAGCAGTTGTGGCTACCCACAGGGGTGTGTGATTCCCCCAAAATGACAGCAAACAGTAACCTATTCTTTCTTTAAGCAGCATCTGTCCCAATCACCACCAATGGAACCAAATGGATGTAAGCTGAAACGTGACCTTGGTCATCCCAAACACCCATACATTCTCCACCATTTGCTCATGGCAGAGGGGAATTAGAAGCCGGGCATGGGGGTGGGGTCCGAGCTCAGATGCCCCAGCAGGACTGACACAGTTATCAGGAAGAATCAAAGGGATGAAAATAATAAGCGTGGACATTTGTGGTCTCTCGAGTCCCAATGACAACATGGCAGAAGCCAGCTGGCAATGGGCCCTCCCCAGTGCCACGTCATCTGGCGGTTACTACAGCGAGGCCTCCTGAAAACTGGAGAGGGAGCTTTTCAGAGAGATGTGTAACATAAATTCCAAATGAGAAGTCCAACTGGGGGAACGTTTACTAATCTTCACTTTCAGTAAGACCTTTTGGAGCTCGGGAAAGTATGGGTAATAAGTCTTTATAATGCTAAGAGAATTGTCACAGAAAGAAGATATAAATCTGCAGAGAAATCAGAGTCTTTTATTTTTAAAAGTCTCTTCCTCTGCCTCCAGATGATTCCAGATCTTGTGAGCAGCAGAACCCTGAGGGACTCACCTGCAACCGAAGCCGGATTTTCTTCTCTTCATCCAGTTCTGAGAGTAACTGCTTAATCTCTCGTCTGAAAAGCAAACGGCAAAAGAATGAAACAAATACCCAGATTTCCCCAATGAGAGAAAAGAAACCTCTTCTTATGACTACAAATCCATGCAAACTTTTTACAAAGAAAATGTAGGCCAAACACATTTGCATTATTATTACTTAAGATTAGTTTCATACAGAAAAGACTATTATTGGGGGCTGGGGATTTAGCTCAGCAGCATAAGCACCTGCCTTGCAAGTAGGCAGTTCGATCCCGGGTACCGATAAAAAGGAAAAAGACAAAAAAAAAAAAGACTGTTATTAATTTGGGATCACCAAAATATGCAGCCATCAAATAGTAGCTGTGGAAATGACCTTTGAGATGCCTTATTCCAAACTTGTCCCAAAAGGAAAAGATGGAGAAACTAAGGCCCAGAATGGCAGCTTACCTTGTCCAATGACTGGATTCCAGGTATTCAGGCTCATATTCTGTCATTTTCCCTCTAACTATTCCTTCCTAACAGAATCATTGGTCTTCAAATATAATTACAGAATAATTTCCATTGCAGACATTTTTACCAATCTATAGCTACTTTGTCTTTGTAATAAAAAGGCTATTGCCTATAGGGGGAGACAAGTTGCAGGACTTCTGCCAGCCCCAGACTGAAGGAATGCCCATATATCTCTAGCTGGATCTCTTGAACCTCCTGATCCAAGGTGGCCACGTTCCGGGAGGTGTGCTGACCAACGCAGATTACTCCATGTGCCTATGAATCTGAATGCTGTACCCTTTACTGGAGTGCTCTGCTCTTGGCAATCCTAGGTCATCTTTCAAAATTCTACTTAGGAAATCCTTTGAGATGCCTCCTCTGATTGCTTCAAGAAAGAGCTAACTGATCTCTATAAACTCTCTGAGCCTCAGTTTCCTCAGGTAAGTGCCAACTATAGTTACTCTGTCTCCTAGATTTGCCACTGCAAACAGCATTCCAGGTGCAAAGGTTTCCATCTATAACAGGGTGGTGAACCTATGGCACATGTGTTGCAGTGGAGGTGTTTGTTACCACTGAAAGCTTCGCCATCATTGATCTAGAATGTCCCCCTCCCAAAGGCTTATGTCAAGAGGTGGGGCTTTTGGAAGGTGATTGGATGATGGGCACTACACTTGGCAGGTATAGTGAATTGTTCAGAGCTGAATGTGATGTTAGAGGTGGGGTCCACTTGACCTAGCAGAGTGTAGCTCCCTCCCCAGCTATTACCTTCACTCTCTGCTTCCTGGTCACCATGACTTGAGCAGCATTCCTCCACCAAGAGTCTTCTACCATTCCCTTCCTGCCTTGGATCCAGCCAACTGTATACTGATTCCTTGAAAAACTGTGAGCCAAAATAAACCTCTTTTCCTTTAAGCTGTGTGTGTTGGGTATTGTGTCCAGAGACAGGAAAGTGATTCAGAAACCAGGTGATATTGATAAATAGTATTTACTTTTGCTCACAGGTATTTTTCCCCACCCAAGCTCTTCCTGAGGATGAGAGATGCAACAAGGGTATGTGTGTAGGCCTGAATGAGAAAAGAGTCCTAAAATCTCACAGTGAGAACATCTTGCTGATTGTAAAGTCTCACTTAAAATTCCCCACATCTTCTTCACATGTTCCAGTTACTTCAACTGACAGCTAAAAGAGGAAGCTGCAATTTTTTTAATGCTAGAGGAAAAGCTGGCTGATGGAGTTATTTAAGAAGTGGTATACATACTGGTATATTGTACTTTGGATCTTGAATATTCGTTTTCCAAAGGCTTGTGTGTTAAAGGCTCAATCACCAGCCCGTGGTACTACTGGGAGGTGACAGAACTTTTAGGAGATGGGGCCCACTGGAAGGAAGTTAAGTTATTGGTAGTGCATCCTTGAAGCGGATATTGGGACCCTGGCTCCTTTCTGCTTCTCTTCCCAGCTACTGTGAGGTGAGTAGTTTCCTCCAGTACATACTCCCTAAATGATATTCAGCCTCACTGCACGCTTAACACTAACAGAGCCAAACCATCAACTGAAACTTTTGACTCCATGATCAAAAATAAAACTTTTCCCCTGATAAGGTGAATTTCTCAGTACCCCACATATAAAAACATATGGCATAATTTAAGTATACTTTAAGCCCCTTACAGTCCATATTCACTCGTACTGCTACTGCCACCATTAATGGGGAGGCCTGCTTGACCTTCTGGGGCAGGGTAAGACCCAGGGGTTCAGAACCAGGCACTGGCCCAGTGGAGAGCCATCTGTGAGGTTGTTGCAAAAGGTTGCCAGGAACTCACTTCTGCTGGTCCTTCATGGTCTCAATGATGCTCCTCAGCTCGCGGACCTGCGTCCTTAGCTCCTCCACAGCTGCTTGGCTGCTGGCTGCAGGCTCCATCTTTGGTTTTCCCTCCGTGCCAAATAGAGACGGGGAGTTGGCTCTATGTCCAGCTGTTCCCAAAGAGGATGACAGGGGGGAGGACACCACTGAGGACAGAGAGGCTGGCCCACCACTGCCGGCTGCCATGGTCCCTGGCTTGGGTGGCAGGGGTGCCTTGTTGTCGGATACCTGTAACAAGGGAAGGTAGAGAGGCTTCAGAGTAAGGGATCTGTGCGCAGTGCTTCACTGTTCTGGTGAGTCAGACCCTCCTTTGGCACCCCTGTCCCCACCTCCACGCATTCCATTCACTTTTTCCTACATCCATCCGCCACCGAGGGCTGACTTGGTACAGGCATTCTCCTCACTCAAGCAAGCATTGCCTGTACATATTTTAAATTTGATCTTTCTAGACACAGTTCTGGACTGGTTTTGTACACACAGAGAGATGCCTAACTGCTTGGCAAGCACCACAGATTCTAAGGCAAGCCCTCAGAGAGCCTGAAACACCGCAGAATGCAGAGTACAGGTGAACAGACAAACCAACACACTGCGGATGAGGGGCAAGACTGCACAAGAGGGAGGAAGCACAGAGCACTGCAGAAACACATCAAAGGGCCAACCATCCCAGAGTGGAGGCAGCGGGGAGAAGCAGCTGACAGTTCCACGTCGGAGAGGGCCTGAAAAAAGGAGACACGGTTAGAGAAAGAAGCTGGAGGAGGGGGAAAGGCCCGAGGCCAGTGATGGCAAACCTTTTAAAGACGAGTACCCAAATTATAATCCCAAATCCACTTACTGTTTTGCAATGTGCCAACACTGCAATTAAACCTGAACTGAGCTTTTAGTTATAAAAAAGCAATGCATACAGTTGGCTCATGTGCTGACAGAGAGGGCCCTGTGTGCCTGCTGTGGCCTGCATGTCAAAGGTTCGCCACCACTGCTTAGGCAAACGCCTAGAGACCAAAAAGCAAAATACATTAGTGGAAGCAAGGCTAGGAGGTCAGAGGGGGCAGGAGAGAGCTAGGCAGATAGGACAAAGCTGCGAAGGGAACAGGGGCAGGAGGAAAGTGTGACATGATTGCGGGTTCTACTAATGCTCATTCTGGCTGCACAAAGGCCTAAGGGGACGCAGGACTGCTGGGAGACTTACACAGTGAAAGCTAGAAATGGTGAGGGTCTGACCTAAGTCAGGGTTAGGTCAGATAGAGAAGACAACTTCTGAGAGATACAGCAAAAGCACAGAGCACCAAGCACATTCTTTGTGCCGGGGTAGGGAGCGGGGTGATACTGATGCAGTCCTTGCCCTCATGGAGCAGACAACTCATGACCAGGTAGATGAGGTCCTGGAAAGGCGTAGAGGGTGAAAGAGGAAGCGCAGATCAAGTGCCACAGGTGGGGAGGAAGAACCAGGCATTAACAGTGCACCTTGCGTGGGAGGAAAAAAGGATAGAAGCCCCAGATATTTCTGTTTTACACTGAATGTCAGGAGCTTGAGGCATGGCTAAGGGGATGGTCCTGTGGCACAGCGACTGATTGTGAAAGTGGGCTGGGCCAAAGAAAATGGAAGCTGTGAAGAGAAGAGGCCCAGTGGTAGAACCCGAGACTTCCTAAATGAAAGAGGCAAGGAGAGAAGGGAGAGTGAGAATGGAGGCAAAGTAGGACCAGTAGAGGGGCCTGGGTTATGGAAGTCCCCTGGGGAAGTTTCCAGAAACAAAAAAGGTTGAGTAAGTGAGTGAGAGGTGCTGACAGGAAAACAGGGGAGACTGTTTGGCGGTGCAAAGGAGGTAAGACCCAGTGGTGGCAGACTGGTTTCTGAATAAGAGGCAAGGAGTACAGCTGGCAAACTGAAGCCTTCCCAGGAACCTGGCCAAGGAAGGAAGACGGGGAAAGATGCAGAAGCCTCAGGAGGAGGCAGAATCAAGGAAGGGCTTGGTTTTGGACAACTAAGCTGAAGATGGGATAAAGAGTGGTGAGGGAGGCCTGACGGAGAAGTACCCCAAGGAAGCCAGGAGGACACAGGGCATGAGAGTGTAGTAGATGGGAGGAAGAGTAGCACCTGGCAGCTTAGGGAGAAGATACAGTCAAGGAACACGAGTTGCTGGGCGGGTGGGAAGAAGGCGAAATAGTGGGGTAGATGTGGGGAGGTGAGAGGATGAGTAACAGGGCAAAAGCTGAGGCCCGTGGAGAAGCTTGGCACTACAGCCCTGGGACTCCTTCCAGCAACGGGCGCCCAGCCGGCCACCCCAACAGCAGGTGCCAACGGGTTTGGCTGGCACGCCAACAAGGAGGTAGAGTCTGCATTCAGGCTTTGCTAGAGGCGCAGACTGGGCAGAGCGATCCAAAAGCAGATGGGCCATCATTCCCAGCCTCTCTGCTCGCCTTTTCTCTGCCAAGTTACCATTGAGGAAAAGCACTCTCTGCTGCCGGCGAAAGCACTTCACCAGCCCAGGCTTTGTTGTTAGTAGGAGTTATAGTACGAGGCAAGAGGAACTGACGTGTATGGAGCACTGATTACAAGCCGGACATCAGCTCTACAATTTAAACGGGGCTCAACTAGCACAAGCGTTTTACCAAGCAGGAAACTGAGGTTTAGAGAAATGGTTGAGTAATTCCCCTAGTCTCAGAGCTAATCACTGCAACAGCTGTGATTCAGACCCTTCACTGTCAACCAGATCCCTCAGCCCAGGACCATGACTGTGGCTGCTGAGTCTGAAAATTTAAGCTCTCCTGTTGTTTTCTCTGCTGATTACCTATTTCTGGGCTCATTACTTCTTCTATTTGCCATGCTGCATCTTTTAGTATCACTCATGATCACCAGTGCCCATAATACTGATTGACTTACAGATCTTTGATCAATACTTCTTTTGGCATTTCCTGTATGACTGGCTCTCCTGGCCCGTTTCTGCTAGTAAGCACTTTTTAAGCCCTCAAAGAGTATAGGTTACAATATTCCCTGATTGAATTAGTTCAAGTGGAATTTCTAGAAGCAATGAAGAACACAACCTGATAAATCCTAAGAAGTAAAACATGCTAATAGAATAAACAGTGTTAAATTAGAAACATGAAAAACCACTTGCCACCAGTAGATGTCACTGTAGAGACACCCCAAGGATGCTGATCAAAGTGAAACTAAGGTATACCTGGGTCACCAGAAAAAAAGTCTAAATCCAATTTCAGTAAATGGAATCCTTTATAAAAGAAGAATGCTTTGGTTTTGTGGGTAATTAAAATTGATCTGTTTTATAGCATCAGATTTTTTACGGTATCAGATTTTTAAGAAAAACCTATATATGCAAATTCCTAAATCTGTAAGAAGGAAAATCTGACATACTCTTTGATTTCCTTGTACTAATTTCTGATTCAAATGACTACAGTTTTCTGCTTTTAGGCAGGAAGAAGTTTCCAATGTTCTGAAAAAAATCAAAATTGAGTGAGTTTACTTAATAGGAGAAAAATGGAATTTTAAAATCTTGGTTTATATTCATAAGAAGACTAAAACTTATACACAGTGAGTGCTTCTTCAAAAGTTGCATGTAGCAGCCAGCAATGTCTTTTTTTTTCCATTGCGGGGGGTTGAACATAGTCCCTGCCCATGCTACTCTATGCTAAGCAAGTGCTCTACCACTGAGGTACACTTCCTACCGCCTCTCTTTTTTTTGAGACAGGATCTTGCTATGAAGCCCAGGCTAGTTCCAACTCCTAGGCTCAAGTGATCTTCTTGCTTTGAACTCCTGAATAGCTGGGACTAGAGGTATGTGCCAGTGCACCCAGCAACAATACCTTGTCTGTCTCTCTCACAAATAAATAAACTAAAGTAGCTATACTATTCCCTGGGCATGTGATGAAATTAATTATCTTTTAAGACTATAAATTTATCCTAGAATATGAATACAAAATCAGCTTTTCTTGAAAAGACCATATTAGTTGTTTATATTTATGATCTCCAAATTATGATTTTTGGCAAGCTTTGCACATGTAAGGCAAGATCTGTGAGAAGAGGGCAAAGAATTTAATGTATTGAAGTAGTCTCTCTAGACATTTCAAGGCCTTTTAAGCTGCCTCTGCTGTGTAGGTTGTAGGGTGGGGTAGGCTGTGAGGACAATTGTGCTTGTGCATGTGACAGCATGGAGAGAAACACGGGGAGTAAGTGAATTTATGGCTCAGGGATTCTGCTCAGTTTTAGAGACTCTAAAACAGGTCTCTGGGATTTGGTGACTAAAGGAATCACTGTCACTAAATAATGACAAACACCTGCATTGTCTGTATATCCTTGTTTGGTTTCTAACCCATGTTAGCGCATGCATGGAAGAGCAGGGACACCTCGCCCTGGCTGGTCACTCACTTGGGATATGGTAACAGTCTTTGAAGTCTTCTTGGATACGTCTAGTCCTCTGTGCGCAAGCGAAATGTGTTCCTCTTTATCTTCTTCGGGACTTGGGGAGTCAAAGATATCGGGGCTTGAAAGGGAGGACTGGATAAAGTCAAAAGAAAATGCTTTCGTCAGAATCATACCTTGGGTGACACAGCTTCTGTTATTATGATCCTGTATGCTTCTCAAAACACTTGACACTTCTAGTTTGTCTGTCTCCTCACTAAAACCTGCTGAGGCAGAAAGTGTGCTATTATCTGTGTACTGGAGATCATCATATAGCTGGTTAATGGCAGGACTGGAATCACGAAGTGAGGATTCCTAAACCAGGGACATTTCCCCAATGCACATCAACCACTGCATCCATGCCAGAACCCGTTGTCCATCCTTTCTTGCTCCCTCTTTCCTTTCTCTCTTTCTCTGTGGCACGTCCCACACTGAGCTTGGCACTGCAGACCTAATGGTAATGTGCCACACATGGTCCCCATCCTTACAGGGCAGGCAGTCTGGTTGGGAAGAACACATAGCCAACAGGAAGCTGACTGTCCTCCTCTGCTCCTTTATTCCCCTTTTTCCAGGATCACAAAATCTGCTGCACACTGAAGGTCTCTAAAGGACGTGTCTGAAGAAGATCATTTCTAGAGGCAAGGGACCACCAGGTCCATAGTCCAGAGGGGAGCCTTTCTCTGAGAGGGCAGCCCTGCCTGCTAGTGCAACAAGTTCATCTTTTCTTTGGTAGCTGCTGCCAAATCTCTGCCCCTGTTACTGCTGTCAGCCAACATCCACTTTGGAGTCTGTATTTGCTAAGTATATTTATAGAATGGAGGCACTTTTAGGTAAAATATGGGATGACATTCCTGTCCGTTCTCCCTCACTGTAACGATTAAAAAAAAAAAAAGCTGAATGAGTGGGGCCCAATTCACCAGACCTGACTTGATCAGAAATGAATCCTGAACTAGAATATCTCTATTTTATAACAAAGCAAATGAAAATAAGAGTTCCTATAGCAGAGAATCCTTTTTTAACAAGGACTCTTCCAGAGATATCTTCAGCTGAGCTCACATTCAGCCTCTTCCCTCATAGTCCTTTTTAGAACCACCATTTGATGTCATTATGGAAAAATTATACCCACAAATATTGTTTATTTTCTATTTACTACTAAGGCAGAACCTAATCTATTATAGGGAATTTTTAAACACAAATTTTGCTTTACAAGAGGTCTGATTTGTTAATCTTCATTTGACCTGAAAATTCAATCACCTAAAATAATATCCCCCAAACTTTCTTATTAATCTAGGCTTAACTGCTTAACCGCCATTCAATGCTGGGTCCTTTCATTTTGTGATTTTATTCAAAAAGCCTGTTTCCTCCAACACAACCTATGTTTGCTGGGGCTGTCAGTCAAAGCTTTCTCTTTGTAACCTATAAACTTAAATAGCTTCGATAAGGGAGAATGGCCCCAAGAAGGAGAATCAGGATTTGCTTATTTCCTCAATCATTCTCCCCAGTGGCCTTTTAGGAATTATGTCCTTATCCATTCTATTTTGTTTAAAAACCTCAGGTACTAACTGCAAGATGAGTAAACAGGAATTCAGTGTATACATCCAAATGTGGATGGATGGAAATAAGGGATGAGAGTAGGGTCATTATACTCCATTAAGCACAAATGTATCCCATTGTAAGCCTGCAAAAAAAATAAATAACTTCCTATAAAATGCCAAATTTTAAGTCACTGTGCCATAAACTTCCTGCAGGTAATGACTGTGTACTACTCATTCCCAGCTGTATCCTTGGTACCTGGTACAGTACAAGTATCTATCCAATTTCACAGCGGATAAGTGTTTATAAATATTTGTTCAGTGAATGAATGAATGAATAACCATATAGCCTGCAATAAGGGTGAAGATGAGATGGTTTTACTTGATCCCCCAAATTATACACAAAATTCCAGACATGAGATGTATATACCAAGGGTGCGATGGTAATTCGAATGTCTGCAATTAATTTTGGAGGCCACAAGGCTCTATAAACCTTGAAAAGTTGGGAAGAATTTGGAAGGAAAACAAAAATGATGAGGCATGTACAGAGAAGGTGTAAGAAGTACAACTGAGAAACCAAAATGTAGAGATGCTAAGAATCAATGAAATAGGGTGTGTTGTATGTACATGTTGGGGTGGGGTGTAGACAGAGAGGACAAGCAGAAAGAAGGCAGTGTTGTCACAGAACTCTACATAAGAGTGAAAAAGGAAGCCGCCTTTTGAAGTCTTTCTCTCCAAGGTGTCATCACAAAGGGGTTTGTTTCATATGAAGACGAAAAACAGGGTGATTCAAACCATACTTGTAGACTCAGAGAATACGAGAGAAGAGGCTCAAAGGAAGTGGCAATCTTTTTCTTTTGAGCAGTGACAACTTAGGTGAGATTATTGAGGAGGTGAAAAGAGAAAGTGACCCGGGAAACCTGCAGAAGTTTAATTCCCTGTTGTCTCTGGATGGAGCTTGTAAGGCCTTAGAGCAGCCAGCAAGGCAACATGCCAGACACACACACACACACACACACACACACACACACACAGAGATAGATACCCAATTGATAGAACAAATGAATGAACACACAAATTTGCCTTGTGGAAGGCAAATTTAACCTTTGTGGTGGGGACATATCCAACCTACGGCAAATGCAAAGCATGCATTTTCCTTTGATCCATTTTCAGAAAGTTTTACCTAAGTGAATAATTTTGGAACAACATCATTATTTTTCTACAGTGACGTTCACTTGAGCATTGTTTATAAGGAAGAACTGGAAACAACATAAATATTAAATAATAGTACATGGGCTAGATAAACTCATATTCATACACTAGTACTCACACAGTAGAATAGTAGGCAGGCATTACATGTGTTGTTCTGGAAAAATGGATAATGACTGGAGAGAAAGGTTTACAGTATAAGGAGGAAAAGTAAATTGCAAAACAATTATGTACTATTATGTGATCCCATTTGTGAAGAAATCATTGTTTATATACAAATAGAAATTTTTAAAAAGAAAAAGATGTGCAGTAAGGAGTCAACATTTTTGCTGTAAGAATACAATTAAAGGTAACTTGTTTCTTATGCATTGCAATATTCAAATCTGGTACAACAAAGGTGTAATGGGTTTGCAATAACAAGTTAGTTAAAATGATTCAAACAAAAAATTTTATGGGTTATCACAAACATTTTGATTAGTCTTTTCTACATGACCAGCCACTCGTAAGTTTAAGAATACCATCCTGAAGGTCAGAGGAGTAGATGATGGGGTATGGGGAGATAAAGGCCCCTGCCTGGAGCCTTTTGGGGCAGATCATTATTTAGTAAAGTTCTGTCTTGTTTATCCACCAAACTAGCCTCACTCGCCTTTTCCATGACATTTTTTTTTCTTACCAGTTTCATTTCAGGTTCAAACAAGAGTCAGTCGAAAAGGAAAGAGAAGATGGGAGAAGGGAGTTCTATCTTGCTGGCAGAAACACAAAAGTCAAAGAGAAAGAAATATTGCTCGTTTAAGAAGACTCTCAAATCACAGTTAGTTGACAGTTTATCTCTTGGCCTCTCTCTCTCTTGGAGTGTCTCCAGTCGGTCACTTGCAGAAGGGTTCTTGGCTAGAATCTCAATCTTTCCTCTTTTCAGCTGTAGAGAAATAAGGTGACTTGGTGAGGAGACACTTACAGATGTGAGTGACTGGGATGGAGGTCGCCTCCCTGTAGCTTTTGGCCTGCTTGTGGTTGGGTGACTGAGTTTCTCAGTAGATGATACCACAGAGTCAAAACCTTCTAGATCTAAAATAAAAACAAAATCAATTTTAAGAGCAAAAGTAGGAGAAAAGGTTCTTACGCCACAAGTACTTCATTTTCTTAATCATCACTCTTCATCTGAATCCCACTTTAATTTTCTATAAAGGACATTTACACCTTTTGGTCATTCAGCAAAGGTGGCCCACATTGAATGATATAATCATTTCCTTCTCTGTTTAACAAGCTAGCAAGTGGAAAAGAGAAACATGATTTTTCCTTTTCCTTTCTACAGCTATATCCATAAATCTTTTAAAAGGTATAGAAAAAAGATTAAAGAAGGAATCCTCTTTCTTCTACAAATCTAAGTTTACCTTGGTAGATAAAACCATTCTTATTGTCTTGATGCAAAAGGCAGTCATCACGACATACAACAGCCATGGGCAAGAGAATGCTGGTCACTGGACAAGAAGAGGGGCAGGGTCCTTCTCTGCTTGTGTGCAACAGTGTGATCATTTGCTGTCACCTAAATGTCAGACTGTAAACACCCAAGAGAAGTGGACAAGCTTCTATTTCTCCAGATAACTCACAGGAGCCGAGCTCTACTGTACTTCCAGAGTCTCATTCAATGGAGAGATTAACTCCTTTGGTCATGAACTTGTTCATTCATTCATTCATTCATTTGCTCCACTGTTACTGAGACACTATTCTACAACACACAGAATGCTAGATAATGCAGCTGTACCAGCGAACACAGCAGACACAGACATGGGCCCTGCCCTCAGACACCTTACACCGATGCACAGAGGAATGGAAGTAATTCATATATCTGATATATGTCTGGAGGAGGAAGGCCTCTGTCTTTATTTTGTTATCCTCTTCAATGAATTGTCAGGCCAAAGGGCTACCTGGTTCTGTGAAGTTCTATGGATTTATAAACCAAGTGTACGTGTGTGGGTTGCTGAAAGGAATGCTTGGCAAAGGCCAATCCTGAGCACCACTACAGCTTATGACTAGGACACAACCATTTCTTCCTAACAAGTAAACAGTATTCTAAATGCCACAGCAGGAGCTATTTCCCCAAACCATTCCCCATCCTCCAGTTTTGTTTCAGGACAATGTATGTAGTCCCTGTCTGTGACTGGTCCAGAGGCAGCTATGTAGCCCAATTTAGATTACTGAGAAATAAACAAAAGTCTACTAAGAGCTGGTGAAGGGGGAAGGAGAAGACCTTTTGTTACTGGCATTCTTCTTTCCTGCTTGGGAAGCCATTGTGTAAACATAGGGTGCCTTGTGCTATGGTAGCTATCTCAGGACCATGAAGGAAGGGAGGTAAGGCATAGTTTTAGAGATCTTGAGGGTAACAGAGAAGAAAAATGGAGATACTGTACCTTGAGTGACTGTCAATCCCAATGAGCTTCCCATCAATCTTGAAATGAGTGAGTGTCTAGACTTTCTATCATGTGAAATTAACAAATCCCTATTATTTTGGCCAATTTTAATCAGATATTCTGCATTTGTAGCTGAAAGCATCCTGTTATAACTTTATGCTGGATCAGAACAGAAAAGTTGAGATTATGGCCCCCCCCCATTTTGGGGAAAACATTTTGTTGATGGTTACACAACACATATTCTGGTTGTGGGACAGCTTTATTCTATTAAGGTATAGGCAGGTATTACCTGAAAACTATTGCCTTTCGTGGACTATGCAAAACCAACCAGCAGTCATCGGTCAAGAGAAGCCATTAAATTATACCTAGGATTATACCAAGTGACACCACTCTGGTACCTAATGAATGAATAATTACTCTATTAACTCCTATCAGGACGAGACAAGTATAATCAAAGGTTAACCATATGCAAAGAGGGCACAGAGAAAAACATCAATGCCACTCTGAAGCCCAGTGGAAACTGACGTGTTTTTCTCATGTGGTGAGTCAACATGGCACTGGACAGTGCCTCCCTTCAGCACTGACTTCTGCATTCTTCTCCCAATTGAAACTCCCACTTTCCCACATGCCTGCCAATGCTCCCCCAATCAGCTGTCAATACATCATTCCACCCCTGTCAATTCCAAATAAAAGCCTGTAATTTTCTTTGTTCCCTTCAGAGGGTGCTTGTGTCTCTTTGGCAGCTCTCCCATGCCACAATAAAGGCCTCTTTTCTTTCTTTCTCTATTTTCTCTCCTTTTCTCTCTCTCTCTCACTCACTGAAGACCAACACTGATCAGTGGGCCAGGTCCTCTAGGTGTCTCAGTAGGTTTCCAGGAAGATCCTAGGCTAGGGGAGAGCAAAGATCCACATTGCTGGGATGTCACTGGGAAAGCCAGCTGCCTGGGCTGGTCCTCTTACAGGCCTTACCTTTAAAGAATCTTATTTGCCTAAAATAAGTCCCCTGCAGAGTCTACTCTAGACTCGCCTCTACCAACTCCATCTGGCCTGAAATGTAAATTCTACATTCCACACCAGGACTGATATAAAAAGCCATTGATATCCCCTCATTTAAGCTTCTTAAATCATTTTTTCTTCAATTCCAAAAGTAACACATGATCAATGCATAATTTTTTTAAAAAAACTAACAAAAGAAAGTCAGCTATGATCTTATCACATTAGGGCAATCACTATTAGTATGTCAGTATATTTTCCTCTAGGCTTTTAAAAAATATGCACTTTAGCATATATGTCAGTCTGCTCAGGGGGCCAAAGGGAGATTTTCAAGGGTGAGGTCCCTAGGTTAAAGAATACACGTGTGCAAGACATCAGCAACAGTAGGCAGCATGGAGCAGAACAGAACACAAGAGTGCAAAAGCAAGAACTGCCTGCATCTTTATTGTATTGTATTGTATTGTATTCTTATACAGGTGTTATCTCATATTTACATTCTTACATAGTGCTGTAACCAGTGCATGCCTGTTTACCTGTGCTGCCATGGTTATGTAACTATATCCCACTGTGTGCTTTGCACTAGACAAGCAGGGTGACATCCTTTAACAGCAATCTGACTGGTTCCCCACAACATATTATATATAGTATTGCATGTTGCTTGTTTCGCTGAACCTTGTATGCCAGGTCTCTAAATCTTCTTCATAAATATTTTGTTACATAATCTTCTATGGCACTGTGATTTATCATTTATTTCTTCAATCCCCTATTGGATCATTGGTGTTCAAATAACTCCTACTTTGTTTAGGTGTAAAATGTCACCCAAAGCCTCATGTGTTCAAAGGTGGGGCCTAGAGATGTGACTGGATTATGAAGGTGCTAACCTCATCAATTAATGAGTTCAGAGCTGAACGGGCTATCAGGCGATGGGGCCTACTTGGAGCAGAGAAGTCACTGGGAGTATGCCATTATAGGGTATATTTGGTCTCTAGCCCCTTCCGGGAGTGAGTCCGTCAGGGTCTCTACCCCACTCTTCCTCTGCTATGAGTTGAGCAACTTTTTTCTCTACTACACACACTCTACTGTGATGTTTTGCCTCACCACAGGCCCACAGCAAAGCAGCCAGTCACCACAAATAGAAACGTCTGAAACTATGAGCTAAAATAAACCTTTCTTAACTCATGTATGTCATTTTGTCATAGTAATTGTTATAGTTTGTGTTTAGATGTCTCTCCAAAACCTCATGTGGTCATAGGTAGCTGAATCTAGAGTGTATGATTGATTTGTAATGCAATGCTGGGATTAAGGGTGCTGAGTTTAAGGGTGGGTGATGGCTGGCTCAGTCCACTGATTGGACTAGCACTATCCTAATCTCAATAGACTGGATACAATATATAAAGGACAGAAAAGAAGCTTATCTCTCTCTCGTTGCTTTTGCTGTCTTTTGCTATTATAAACCGTTGACCCTCTGCCTTGTGCTCCCCTGCCCTGGAGCCAGCCAATTATGGACTGAAACCTCTACAAATTTTGAGCTAAATAAACCTTTCCCCTTCTAACTTTGAGTGCCAGGTATTTTGTCTCAGCAATGAGAGAAAAGTAAGAAAGGCAGTGATAGAACGCTAACAGCCCTCCTATCCCTTGCTACTGTAGAAAAGAGCTGCACAAGTATGCTTCCAGGCACTCTACATATAATGAGTTTAGCAGGCTATCCATGCAGATTTCCAATAGCTCTGGAAAAAGGGAATAAGGCCCGGGACTGGGTGGTTTGCTGGTGAATGGTGGAGGTAGTCGAGAAGGGCACAATGAAGAACAGAGAAAACATAGGGGAATGGAGAGAGAACACAAAACTGAGAAGCAGATGCTGAGCAGACAGTTAGGGGAGGAGGTGAAAAAGAAGGCTGCTAAAAATTCCAGCCAACAGGCCATTGCCAAGTGTCCTGGCTAGGAGCTCCCAGAGCTGAACTGGACAATACCTGTACCAACATCTTATCCAGGAAACTAAAACAAGCCCTGGAGGCAGTATCTTAGCAGGGTGAAGTGATTAAAGAACTAAAGGCTAATTAACTCTGCTTCTCCACCTTGGCTGCACAGAAGATTCACCTGCACAATAAAAAAATACCCAAACACTTCATCTCTGGATCCCACCCTGGGGACTGACTCTATTGGAGTGGGGTGTAATCTAGGCATGGGTAAGGGTTCAGCCTCTTTGGGTGATATGAACACGCAGTAAAAAGCGAGCACCACTGGTCTAGCAGAGGCTGCAGGTGACAGGCTGCAGGAAGGAAGGAGTGAGGAAGGATTTGATGAAAAGGAGGAGTGGTGAGGCAATTAGGTAAATGCTAGTGTATTCCCAGTGAGAAGAGAGCCTTCTGGGGCAAGTTTGTGAGGAGTAAATCTATCTCACCATTACTCCAATGCACAGTGAGGAGTGCTGGCCTGATTTGAGGGGGAGAAGAGATGCTGCAGTGCATGATGAAAGTGATAGTCAAAGGCTCAGATAACTGGCAGCAGGTCACACGCACTGCAGCTGGAGAGATGAGGCAGACGGAGAAGTGACCCAGCATATGCAGAACAGAGTGGGAAAAGGGTGCCAGAGCAAGGGGAGCAGATGGAACAGCCTCAGGCCCACCTTGGAACAGACTTGGCATGTCCACTGGTACACAGGGA